GGTTGTACACAGCTAGTGTACTAGGCTGGATCTGAACTTAGATATTCCTGACTCCAAGCCCAGCACTCTATCCACTGAGCCATCTATCTGCCTCATAGTAGAGACTAATGTTAGAGAGGTAAGAGACAAAGGAGGGGGAAAAAAGAGCTCTTAGTGAATGGACTCAATTTTTTCTTTTTTGCTGAAGAATGAGGAAATATTTTGAGCTGAGAGGAGAAAGGAAGAAGTATGTATAGGAGGCTTGAGGAGAGAAGAGATAGTTTAGATTAGCAGTTGTTGTGTGTTAGAGAATTAAATAAGGCTGAAAAGAATTGCCTTGGTACATTGAGAATCCAGTTGAAGTCAACAGTTTTGTGTCCCTCTCCTTCCATTCAGTAGCATGTACACAGGAGTAATGGTGGCAGAGGGTAGGAGTAATCCAGGGTTGACATTTGGCAAGATGTGATAAGTTATAAGAAAAGAGAACAAGAGAACCAAGAATAAAAAACACTTAGAGTTGAACTGGTTTGTTCAGAGATCAAGATTAGGAAGAGAAAAGAATGTAGAGAGAATAGAGAGAAAGTACTGAGGGATGGAAGAATTAGAGATCATGGTGAAGAAGAGGATTCAGTTTAGGAGTTGTAAGGGGTAAGGTATGCTAAAGCCAAATGGAACAGGCTCACAAGAGATAACTGTTAAATTTTCGGTGTTAACATTTACTCTTCAGAAAAATGCAAATACTACAAATCAGAGCTTGATTTATTTTTGTTGCTGTTGTTGTTGTTGATTTTCTAGGCTTAAGAAAGTGATGGGGAAAGTGTTAATGCAGATTAAATTTAAAAGTATGTCGTGTGTATTTGTTTTTTCCAGAGATTCAGTTGGTAAACATTTACTAGAATGCCCCTAAATGAGGTACAGGGCAAGATGGAAGGATAAAAATGTTTTCATCAGATGAAAGCATTTCAAAGCTCTTGAACATGGAATGGTTGGTTGATGGTGGCAAGATCAAGGGAGTGACTATCCCTGTGTGTGGCTGAGGTAGAGTAGAGAAGTAGGTTATAGGAGTTAAGTATATTGAGTAACTAGAAGTTAAGGGTATTTAAGAGAATATCAATACTGGATGTTGAAATCCCTTTTGTGAAGGTAGGAGCTGGGGTGGAAAGGGATACTATGAGCCAGGCACTAGATCCTTTGAGAAAGAAAGGAAAATAATGCAGAGCTCAGTAGACGATGGCTACAAAAATCTAGATTGAGTCATGGATTGCATGACTCAGAGGACAAAGGATTGCTGAATGATGGTAGTAAAGGAAGAAACTGTAGCGTCCATGAAGAGCAAGAAATATTTTTACTCTCTCACCATGAGCAGTGAGTCAGGATCTGATTGAAAATGGAGTTGTCAAATGGGAAAAGGACCTACATGTACAAAAATATTCATAGCAGCTCTGTTTGTGGTGGCAAAGAATTGGAAATTGAGAGGATGCCCATCAATTGGGGAATGGCTGAGCAAGTTATGGTATATGAATGTGATGGAATACTATTGTGCTCTAAGGAATGATGAACAGGCTGACTTCAGAAAAACCTGGAAAGACTTGTATGGTCTGATGCTGAGTGAAGTGAGCAGAACCAAGGGAACGTTGTACACAATAACAGCCACGCTGTGTGATGACTAATATTGATAAACTTAACCTTTCCTGGTAATACAAGAATCTAAGACATCTCCAGAGGCCTTGTGATGGAAAATGCTATCCACACCCAAAGAAAAAACTATGGAAGCCAAATTGTTATTTTTTTTCCCTTCTGTTGAGTTTTGTTTCCTCTTTCTGATGGTTCCTCCTATTGGTTTTAATTTCTACTTACAACATCACTAATGTGAAAATATGTTTAATACCAATGTAAATGTATAGCCTATATCAGATTGTGTGCTGTCTTGGGGAGGGTGGTGGAGAGGAAGGGGGAGAAAAACTTTAAACTCAAAAGCATATGGAAGTGATTACTGATAAATCAAAATAAATTAAGAAAAAAAGAAAAAAAAAGAAAATGGAGTTGTCCCTGGAAAAGATGGCCAGGAATACACTAAGTACCATCCAGAGGAAACTAAGTCTCTCTAAGTACCAGAAGGTAGAAGAAGCAAGGGAGAAAGTGGTATGAGGTGATTTCCCCAAAGCACAGGTCTGATTATATCACCTTTCTGGTTTTCTTACATATTATTTCCTCCCATGCACTCAGCAATCTAACTATACTGTTCTATTTGCTGTCCTTGCACATGACACTGTATCTCCCTTTGATCTGTGCAAGTCACCTCTCTGCTTCAGTTTCCTCATCTGTAAAATTGGGATAATAATAGCACTTAACTCAGGGTTTTGGTGAGGACCAAATGAGATGATATTTGTAAAGTGCTTGGCACAGTACTTGGCACATAGTAGGTGCTTAATAAATACCTATTTCCTTTCTTCCTTGACTGGAAAAAAATACATTATTACTAAGAATTGTTAACCACCATCTGAGCCTTCAGCGAGTTATAATCTTTTTGTTAGTGGAGGGTCTGGCCTCAGTGTTGATGGATGCTGACTGATCAAGGTGGTGGTTGCTGGAGGCTGGGGTAGCTGTGGCAATTATTTATTAAGACAACAATGAAATCCACCACATCAACCGATTCTTCCTTTTACTTGAACACTTAGAACCATTATAGGGTTATTAACTGGCCTAATTTCAATATTGTTGTGTCTCAGAGAATAGGGAGGCCCAAGAAGAGGGGGAGAGAAGAAAGAACAGAGGAGCAGTCAGGGGAATGGAGCAGTCAGAACACACATTTATCGATTAAGCTTACCATCTTATATGGAGGCCATTTGTGGCTCCCTAAAATAATTACAATAGTAACATCAAAGATCACTGATCACAGATCACCATAACAGATATAATAATGAAAAAGCTTGAAATATTAAAAGAATTACCAAAATGTAACATGGAGACACATATGAACGTATGCTGTTAGAAAAATGGCGCTGATAGACTTGCTTGACTTAAGGTTGCCACAAACCTTCAATTTGTTAAAAAAAAAAATCTGCAAATCACAATAAAGCAAAGTGCAATAAAGTGAGGTGTGCCTGTACTGCAAAATTATAAAGAACAAGCATGAAGCCAAATAAGAGATGTGAGAAGATCTACCCCACTTCTTTGCTGAGGTAGAAAGTCCAAGGGTGTGGAGCATTGCATATACTTTCAGACTTTTCCTATGTATTGATTGGTTGTGTTGATTGTTTTCTCTTCCTATTTTTCTTTAAAAACATTTTTATATGGATGACTGTCTGGAAGAGGGAAAGGGGCACAGAGAGAATTTAAAAAACAAAAAATATCAATAAATATTTTTAAAAGACCACACCTCACACCCATTGCTCCAAGCTCTGCCCTATGAAACTAAGAAATCCCCAGGACGGGTCCATGAACTTCAGTCACCCCTCTTGCAACTTCACTTGCTATTCTGATTCTGGAATACATCTCAGAAATATCTTAGACTACTGTCTTGTCAAAACAGAAATAATAATGCTAATGCCATGAATCAACTTCCTAAAAATAAACTACGATCTACTATGGCCAAATTATCAACACAAAACTAAATTCTTTAAAACAAACCTCAAAGATGACAAAGCCTTCTGGGCCTTTTGGCATTAAAAATTCTGTATCTGGAGTTGTCAACTATTTTTACTATTTCCCCTCTGAATTCCACAACACCTTCAGGAGAAAACTGAAATCCAATTAAACTTCCTTCTTTCTAAAGAGTGAGTGCCTTATCACAATTTACTTAACAATATACACACAGCTACCATTTGAATGGCAATACATAGTTTTCAAGGCACTTTCATATAGGTGTGTGTGTGTGTATGTAGTTTCTTTTGATCCTTACAAATGCTATGAAGTAGAAAGGAAGGTTACTTGCTTAGAACGGACCTTAGAAATCATTCAGTCTAATTCATTCATTTTACAGATAAGGAAATGGAGGCCCAGAGGGTGTTTTAAAAGGAATACAAGTGGCAAATCCAAAATTCAAAACCAGGGTCACGGACTCAAAATCTAAGCCCTTTCCACTCAATGTATAACTTCTACAGCAGGAAAGGTAAAAAGTCCCGTTTTATAGGTACTGCTCACACCACATCTGAAGTACTAAATCCACTTCTGAGTGACACTATTAAAAAGGATACTAACCAACTAGAATACAGACCAGAGGTCTTCAACTAGTATAATAACATGGCATGGCTTGGATTAGCCACAAAGAACCTGGAAGTGGTCTTTTCAACCTAGGAAGAGAGGAAGCTAACACAAGATCAGGAATTGAGGGTTTGTCTTTTTCCTATATATGGGGAGTTTTTAGGATCTTTTGAAAGGAGACAAAGAGAAAAGGTGTACAAGCTTCCAATGGACACAAGAAAGCAGTAACATCTCCTTCAAACTCAAGCTTCCATTAGAGACCATGAAAAGTGACTTCTAAATGGACAAAATGAAAGGTATATAATAATATTTTTGCTTTTTTAATCATAGGGTGCTCGTTTCTATAGCTAGGAGACTGAGAAAAAACAGACATGAGAAAGTGACAATCTTTACCCTCACCAATGTCCTCCATTCCACTCCTGCACTTGGACAGCCAGTCTCTATTACTCTTCTGTCATCTACAAAAATACTCCTCCAACCCCTATAACAAAATACATATGTGTACATATACATATGTATATTTATAAATTATCTTGCAATGCTGATCCAACTCAAACTGTCAACTGTGAATTGTAAAGGAACAACTCCTCCATCTTTCAGAAGCCCTCTAGGGATCATTTAAATTATTACATTCTTTTCAAAATTTTAGGCAGTCAGCACTATGTTAAATTAATTGAAGACTACACTGTGTTAGTCCACCAATAACAAGTTATGACTTATGTAAGTTTGAAGCTTTTTGGCAATTAAGTAAAAGGAGATTGATACAGGAAAAAGAATAAAATTAAACAAATTTTTCAAAAGAAAAATTGAAGTCTTACCAAATACCAATGGGATTTTCTAAGACAGACATTCACATCTTGCCTAATCTGTACTCTTGCTATACGCTCTGTTGAACTCTTAAAGTTCTTAATGTCATGATTTCTTTTCTGTTCAACATAACTCCAAGCTCCAGGCCCTATGTGCCCAGAAGGCAGGGTTCTCATAATTGCTCTGGTTCCAGTATAAACAGATTTTTTAACTTCCTTATCATTTTTGCAAAATCTTCTAATTAACAAAGTGGACCGCTCCCTTTTGTTTTTAAAAAAATCCTCCTCCACGTCTTCTTCAAAATGATCAGTACAATCTTCCAAATGACTCAAAAAGGCCTTGGTGGGCATTCTTCCAGGAAAATTATCACCACAGAAGCTTTTATTTGAACATACCATTTTAACCTTCTGGCAAGATCTTTCTAAGCATAAATATTTATCACTTAGGGTATCATAGTTATCACATCTCTTCAGTCCATTCTTATTGTCACAGTCATCTGCCAGTTCCATTAAACTACAAGTATATGCTGAGTAATTGCCCTTTTGATCATTTCCAATATCTGGTAGTTGTACACAGTTGCCACAATCATCTAAAATTAAGCCATCAGATATGGTACAAAAAGTCTTTGATACATTTCTCTCAACTGCGTAATGAAAATGAAATATAGCCATGTTATCCGTATGACCTCTGCTAGTTTGAATAATTGCTGATTGACTTCTTATAGGATTTGCTTCTCCTGAAGGTTCATCTACTTCCAGTTTAATTCCAGAAAACATGTTTCTTTCCAGTGAAGATGAAATTCCAGTATCCAAACACAGGTTTTCTTCTGATACAGATTCACATGATTTAGACAACTGGCTATGTGAACTCTGACAGTTATTAGGCATATTGTTACAGTTAATGTTAATATATTCCACTGAATCTGGTACACTTCTCTCCCCAAAGTTTTCATGGCTATTCGCATCATTCATTGCGTCTTTACTCGAGACTGAGACAGTCTTGGCCAATGAACTTTCAATGTGTTCTTCTCTAAATATGTTTAGGCATGAGAGAGTAAGAGGAGTTTCTTTGTTTGGTTTATTAACATGTCTTTTTATAACACTGATGTCCGAGGCATTTTCACTGCTTTCATCTGTAGCTGAGCGAGCAGCTATCACTTCCTTCTGTGTCACAGGAACAAGAACAGAAGCTACCATTTCTTCAGAGGTCATCTTGACATACATGGACTTCAGTTGTTGGGGGTTTTCTCTCTCTAATGATCATATCATGATTTCTATGAAATAACAATTTGCTAGAAAAATAATCTAACATATATAAGTCCTGTTTTAATATAGCGATTATTCTCTTCACACAGTTGCAATAGGTCAAAAAGAGGTTATTCCTTCAGTAACTTAGTAACATGAAATGTTTTTTCCAGGAGACTTTTGTTAAGTATAGTAATTTTGTAGTTTACTCTTACAAAAACAGTAATTTTCCACCCCCTGTCTATTCTATGAGGTGTAATGGAATTATTTTATTTAATTTTTAGCCGAGGGGGCATTCTGGAATAGCTGCTCCATCATTTAGCTGCATTTCACTTCGGTAGCCAATTCAGGAGTTTCCTGCAAGGGGAAAAAAAAAAGAAAAAGAAAATATTATACTATGCTACAAACTAGATTCTTAAAAATAATTTTAAAATCATTGAAAACAATGCCAAGTTATTAGATCTAATTTTAATAATCAGAAATGTATTTACTTTTTAAAAATAATACTAACCAACATAGTTATGGATTTCATTTACAATATGAACCTCATTTTGGAATAATTATATCTACAATATCAGTAAGATGTTATTAATAGTACAATAGTTATAAAATTCTAAATTTTTATGGATAAATATGTTCTATAAAAATAATTGGATTTAGTCTTATTTAATTTAGCTTTCTTTGTCTATGGAAGTAACATTAAGGGCTGTGATTATTTCATTTACTCAAGCTAATATATGTTCTGGTATTTTAATAACATAAATTTTATCTGTCCTAAATTTCTATGGATACAAATGTGAACTTTTTTGTCTTCCTGCCTTTATATTTTATCCCTCATGCTCCTTTTTATTTCCCCTTTCACTTAATTTGCATTAGTTATACATCCTCTCTCAAACACAAACACAATCTCTCACCCACTCCCAAGCACAAGTAGACTTTCACACACATATTGAACAATAATAGCTAATAAAAGCTAACACTTATATAACACTTACTATGTACCAGGCAATGTGCTAAACACTTTTCAATTATTATCCCATTTGATCCTCAGAACAAAGCGTTACTATAATCATCATTTTGCAGACGAGGAAACTGAGGCAAATAGGTTAAGTAACTTGCCCAAGGTCACATAGGCAGTAAGTGTCTGAAGCCAAATTTGAACTCGGGTCCTCTTGACTCCAGGCCCAAGACTCCATTCACTGAGCCACCTACTTGCCAAGGGTCAAAAAAAGGCAAAAGTATGTTCTGATGGGAATTTGTTGTGGATACCAGCATACCCTAACACGAATGAGAGACAGCAGGATCATGATAGCATTTTTTGTGTCATAGGCCCCTCTGACAGTGTGATGAACCCTTCTCACAATAATGTTTTTAAATGCATAAAAATACAAAGAATTACAAAGGAATTCAATTTTATTGAAATACAGTTATCAAAAATTTTAAGTTAAACTCTGTTAAGAGCGTCAGTTTCTCACATGTTCCTTCTAGGATCACAGAAATGTGGAGCTGGAAGGGTCCTTAGAGATCATTTAGTACATGTCCCTAATTTATTTTTACAGCTGAAGGAACTGAGGCCCAGAACAGCAGACTGATTTGTCTATGGTTCTACAGGTAGTAAGTGAAAGAAACATAATGCAAATTCAGACCACTATCTCACTTTCTCTAAAATAATAAGATACCTTCCTCCTCTCCCCCCGCCAAAAGGGACAGTATTACACCGTGCTACAAAGCGCAATTTAAAAATACACGAAAACATTGCCAAGTTATTAGGTCTAACTTTTATAATCAGAAATGTATTTACTTTTTAAAAATCATACTAACCAACCTAGTTATAAATTTCATTTAAAATATAAATTACATTTTGGAATATTTACATCTACAATTTCAGTAAGATTCTGAAATCCCTTATGCCTAGGCTCCTGTGACCCTGGTTGCAAAGGTCAATTACTTTAGGGAAGTTTCTGTGTCTCATTGATACTATGTCAGAATTTGACATACCTGCTACTAAAGAGAAGACTTTAATCATCCCCAAATTCTTTAAGGAGCAGGTGTTTTTAAGTGCAGTTATTTTGTTGTGGCATGCTCTTTGGGAAGGAGTTTGTTTTTAGAAGAGAAAGTGGTAGTATTACATCTTGGCTCAAGTAGGCAAGACTCACTAGCGTAATTGGTGTAGGGTTGTTTTGACCTGTTGTTAGATCATTTTTGCAAGTAAAGAAAGGTGTCTGCTTTTTTACACTTTCCTCTGATTAAGTGCTGTCCTTCCTACCACATGCTCCATGACGAGACCTGTGAAAATTTAGGGTAGTGGTGTTGGCTGGACAAAACCTAATTCATGAGAAACAGGTTTACAGCCTGAAGGGGAAGGGATAAAACAAGGGGGTTCAAGAAGCTTCAGGCTGGCCAAAGGAAATGGGAAGGTTGGGAAGAAAGGCTATATCTAAAGAAAGGTAAGGGTAGTTTAGGCCAGGCACCAGGGCTAGGAAAAGGAGAAGAGGCAGTGGGACAGGGATGAGCCATGAAGTGAAGAACAAAAGGAAGACAGAGTAAGGAAATGACCATTCAGCTTCAGGTTCAAAATACAGGTGGACCTGAGGTAGAAGTGATGGGTAATCATTAATTAGAAAAACACTAAGTCGATGAAATGCCAAAGCAGGAAATGTTTTCAAATATTTGAAACGATTTCATATAGAGGGTTGAGTAGACTTGTTCTGTTACTACAAAACGCAGACCTAGAATGAAAGAAAGGAAGTTACAGGAAGATTTCAGCGCAATGCTAAAGCAAGACAGGGCTAACAATTCTAGTTGGCCAACAATGGAATGGCTTTGAAGCACAAGGACTACTTCACTGCCTTCTCAGCAGGATAAGAGGAGGAGGCTGTGGGCCCCACTTCTTCTTTTTTTATAATTAATTTATTTATTTTTAGTTTTCAACATTCACTTCCATAAGATTTGAGTTTTACATTTTCTCCCCCTCCTATTTCTCCCCCCTCAAGACAGTGTACAATCTGATATAGACTCTACATATACATTCATGTTAAGCATATTTTCCCATTAGTCATGATGTAAAGAACATTTAGAATTAATGGAAGGAACCACAAAAATGAAGCAAAACAATAAAACAAAACAACAACAGAAAAGGAGAGCAAATAGTATGCTTCCATCTGCATTCAGACTCCGTATTTCTTTCTCTGGGTGTGTTTAGCAATCTCCATCACGAGTCTTTTGGAGTTGTCTTAGTTTCTTGCATTGCTGTGAAGATTGACCCCACTTCTCTCCCCAGTCTCCCTCCATATGGCGAGGAAGACATGACTTCCAATTCTTTTGTGTTCTGAGGCCAGATTTGAACTTAGGAGGATGAGTCTTCCTGACTTCAGGTCTTGCACTCTATCCACTGCACCACCTAGCTGTCCCACCTTTGTAAATACTCCTTTCTAAAAGCTAACTAAGACAGGCTGACTAATTGATATTAACTGATACTTACAAGGGAAGCATACTGATGGGGGTTCTTAAGCTACAACATTAAAAATCCAATCCAATTCTTCAAGGTTTCCTAGAATATTGCATCTGAGATTTGGGATGCCAAAGAATGGGGTTTGGGAGAGTAGTCCCAAAGCCCCTATTATTCTTTTAATCCTCAATTGAGTTGGAGGATTACTTCCCTAAACAGCTGTTATGAACCTTCTTACCTCTTTTTCTTAAATTCCCCAAAAGCAAACCCCCTTATCTTAGCAGAGAATTTCCTGCCACCTATGGAAGTTATCCACATATCACTAATTCCCCCATTCCACATCTCAAAATCCCTCTATATCACCACAGAAGCTGTTCCAAACCTTTTCCACCCTTAAATCATCCATTTATCCCTTTCCCATTCCACTTAGCAGAGGATTTCTACTAATAACAATAAAATTGAGGCCATCCACTGTGAATTTTCCTCCATGGTTCTACACTTAATCTGTCCTCATCAACATTACCCATTCCATTCCCTCCTATACCATTTCAATTAACTCCTAGAAAAAGCAACATTCATTATTCTTTGTCTTCACTTCTTCACCACTTAATTCTCACCCCCTTACAATCTACTACTGGAACCAAACACTGAATCAACAATCTGAATCAACCACTTGACTGAACTGGAACTCTTCAAGGTTATATAAGATCTCAATCACTAAAGCCAATGACTGTTTCTTAGTCGCAATGCTTCTTGAACTCTATGCATCTTCTGCCACACCCTCCTCCCTCTACCACCATGACAATGTTCTCTGGGAATCCTCCTATTTGTCTGACTATTCTTCTTCAACCTCCTCTTCTGGATCATCATCCACGTGCCTCCTCCTATGCCCAGGTATATCCCAGGACTCTGTGCTTGGTCTTTTATGGTCTTTCTACACCCACTCTTTTTGGTCATCTCATCATCTTCCAGGAGTTCAAATACATCTCTAAGCAGATGACTCCCAAATCTACATGAGTCCCTCTGCTCTCCTCTCTTCCTTTCTCTCTCTTCTGTCTCACTCCTCCTCCTCTTCAGCTCCAGTTCCATATCAACAACTGCCTGCTTTGGTTCTTAAGTTGTTTAATATGTTTATATTTAATAGTAGCCTCCTCAAAGATAGGAATTGTGTTCTGTTTTTCTTATATCTTCCCATGGCACTAACTACAGTGCTTTGCAGACAGCAGGTGCTCAAAAACATTTGCTGGCACACTGTGTGTGTGTGTGTGTGTGTGTGTGTGTGTGTACATATACACACACTAATATGTAATCAGTTTTTTAAATATCAGAGTTGAAAGGGGCCTCATCTCTTCTCATCTCTACCTAAACAGGGAGTACTACCAAGTTAATATATCTAAGATACATTTCTAAAATTCTAAGTTATACGACTGATCTAGCAATTACTGAATAATCTAATATATACCAATAAATAAACCAACAAGTATTTATTGAGCCATAATATATAAAATCTAAGCATGGTATAATGGATAAAAACCTAGACTGAAAGTCAGAGAACTGGAGTTTGAATCCTGACCCTGTGTAATATTGGGCAAGCAACTTACCTTCTCTAGCTTTTAATTTCTTCATTTATAAAATAAGGGGAGAGGGTGTTGGATCAGATGACCTTTAAAGTCCTTTTCAGCTATAAATGTCTTTTTTTAATTATTCAAACATAAAGAAATTCCAAAACAATGGAGAGAAAAGAAATTCATATATGAAAAAAGCAGTGAATGATATATTTTTACATATAACCATTATATGTAGATATAATAAAACTCCACAAAGTCCTACTCTAATCCCTCACTGTGCCCTGGTGGTTTCTCTTGGTTCTTAAAGGCTG